GCGGTGAGGCCCTGCACCTGGAACAGAGACTCCCCATCTTTGGGGGTTTTTAAAACTGAGCTAGAGAAATCCATGGCTGATCTGAGTTAGCACTGGTAACAGCCCTGCTTCTCATGGGGCACAGGACCAGCGGTGTCCTGAGATCTGTTCCAGCTGACACTTCTGTGACTGTACTTACATTAAAACTAAATAAACATGGTCTGATGTTGACTTAACCTTCCCAGTGAGCATGTTGATCTACTGTTATTGACATGCTTCTTCCTAGAATCTGATTCTCACTAAGAATGAGTGAAAATGGGAGGTGTCCTTCATGTTACCTGGAAAGGCACATGAGTTGGGTTTTTGGTTCTGTCCTTTGGGCTGAGGGAAAGCTGGCACAGGCAGCACACTCTTTCCTATGGTGACACAGTGACACAATGCCATCCCTTACCAAGGTATGTAGATGCAATTATTGGGATAAGGTTTTGAGAGAATGATGTCTCCTTACAGTCATGATCTGAATGGCCCTTCAGCACGTGCTTCTGGTGTGCCTTTGCACTTCAGCATCTGCTTTAGCAGGCTATAGTTAGTGAATGCTTAGGGAATCTGGTGCCAGATGTTCATTCCCTAGATCGTGAGTTGTAATAACATATTTCTGCTTCACTGCAGTCACAAAGTAGGACCTCTGTGCACAGCCTGGTGGACTCCTTCCAGACCTGGGGTTAAAGCTCTGCATGAGCTGTTTCCTGTTGTTATCCTGTCCCTTTTGGTAACCACCATCCTTAACAAATCCTCTCCCACCCCTTGCTCCCTGTTACCTGGGATGGATGGTCAGAAACCAAAGATGTGCGTTCCTGTATTGTTTCATGGGGGATGAGGTAGTGTTTCTGGTCAGAGAAATCCTACTCATGTTCCTCTGTTCCATCAGAGGCACAGGGAATGGTGAGCAATTAATCTGTAACTCTGCGCAGTAAAACACAAATCTCCATAGCTTGAGAAATTCTGGATGAAAGCCAGAGAAGTTTAACAAGGAAATGTGTTCCCTCCAGTGTGATTGTGCCTTTGGCTTCTATTTTAATAAATGAGCAACAGCTGAACAGAGGCCAAAAGGAGAGTCCCCACATCCTGAGGTATGTTCGATGCAGAGTCTGGGCCGTGCATGCTTCAGGTACTGCAGTGGGACAGTTAGCACAAAATACTGAGGATTAACCATCAGTTAGACAGCTACATCAAAGGTGAATAGCAATCATGAGTGTGTGGATAATCCCAGTGTGAAGGATTTCCTTTTTTTTTTATGTTTAAATTTTCTTTTGAATTCCCTCAAGACAGGAAGAGAAAGAAGAAAGCCAGGCACTGTGATAGAGCCTTAGGGGAGCTGGAGGCCTGGGGTGATAAATCAGCAGCATTTCAGTGAGATTAAGGAGGAACGTAGCATAATATACGAGGCAATATGGAAAGAGGCATTTTATTACAATCAGTCCTGGAAGAATTCAGTTCCAGATGGTTAAAGTGGGGTTAGGTCAGGAACCTCCGTCAGATGGGGCTCGCCATCCAACAATGTGCAGGAGCAGGGGAAGGTTTCCTGTGCATCAACAAAACATCTTGAGAGGGGAGAACTGTCTCCATGGCTGGATAAAACAGCTTGCATTAGTAGGGATTGTCCTCTTTGTGAGTGCAGATGGTGAGGAGTGGGGCCACTTTGGCATTTCGTAAGACGTGTCCTGTTCTTGTAGAACATTTCTAAGAAGATTTTGACGTTGGATTGTCATCTGAAAGCAGATGGAGGATAATGGAGGATGGCAGGGCTGTTGTCCTAAAACTGATGGGGACATTGGCCTTGATTTACTGCCCCCCCCCCCTGCCCCTCATAGCAGCTCCTGGGCTGTGTGGCAGTCATAGAACAGAATCACAGACTCATTAAGGTTTGAGGAGACCACTGAGATCATCTAGTCCAACCATCAACCCATCACTGCCACATCTACCAAACCATGTCCCTCTGTACTTGAGAGCACCTCTAACCCTGATAGGGACCCATTTCCCCAGGGAAATGCAATCCTGCAGCTTGCTTCTGGCTAATCACAGAGTAGTAGTAGGAAGGAAGAACTTTATAGCTCCCAGCTAGGGCAAGAGGTAAAGCAAAGACTTGGTTAATGGAGAAATTTCTCCTGCAAAAGCTAGGACTAGCTCCCTGTCAAAGACAGAACAGAACTCAGACCACAGCACTGATGAAGCACAACAAATCATCAGGAAGGGCAGGAATGTTGCTGTATTTCAGGATTATTATTATTTTTAAAAAATTTTGAATGGTTGAAAGAAATTCTCATTTTAGGAAAAATTGGCCATGCTTTGCTACAGCATTAGACTTTTCTGTTGGATCTCTTCTACCAGATAGAAAAGTTTAGATTTATTTTTGTTTGTGTTCTGTCTTACACAGCTAAGAAAACAATTTCAAATAGGACAAACTGTCTTGTTCCAGGGAGGAGGTCTGATTTGGAGAGTGAAAACAGCTTGCTACTTGGAGTGCAGACTGCAAAAGAACAAAGCTCTAAGGACTGTTCCCTACGCTGTGCCCCACAAGAGAGGCCATTGAGCCAAAACGCTGGCCTCACAGAGCATCCTGCTATGCTCAACAGTTTCCTTGTGAAATTCTTTTTATCTGTGCCCCAGAGCCTGGTTTTCTGGGTGCTGGCCCTTTGGGAATGATGGGCCGGGAGGCAAGCACTTGGGGTATTTACTCCTTCCCCTTTGGAAGGAGTACTGTGTTAGTTCTTTTCACAGGGATGCTGGTACATCCCTCTGATAGACATTAATAGCCATTGCTGTGGAAGAAGAGTGGAGTCTCTTTTAGTCAGGTGCACATCAGTCACGTATTTATGTTTTGCATATGTCACAGGTGACATGAAAGGAAGAAATCCTTATGAGCCAATGTTCCTGCGCGACTTTCATGGGAAATGAGTTCTGGCTGCACAGAAGCATGTTTCTTGTGGCAGCTGAATGAAGAGTTACACTCAGATGCTCAGAAAAGTGGGATGACATCATGTAATCTGTACATCTTGTGAAGATTAATCAATGCTGCTATTCATTAAAATATATGCACTTGCAGTGGCTTCTCTGGCAGACTGATTGTAATAAATAATCTTAAACTAAGTGAAGGTCAGAAATTCTGGTAGGAAGAAGCTCTGTAACAGCATGAATGTTGCTGCTTGAAAACCAGGCTCAGTTGGAACAATTTCTAGCAAAAGAGTGGAAGTGTGGGTTCAATATTTTTAGGTTCTCAATTAAAAGATGATCATCACATCAGCAACGTGTCAGGCTCATCAGCCTGTTTTCCAGGAATCGTCACTCTTGTCCAGAGGACAGCAGGAAGCCCCTAAATAATGTGACAGAGATGGTAAGTGTGACCCAGGCCAAAATCCATTTTCCTGTCAGAGTTTAACAAAATATTTTCATTAAGAAAGGAACATGAGGACATTCCACTCTTCTCATAGATAACTCTCAAGACTAAATTTGTGAAGTAGAAAGAGGAGACATTGGAAATGATCCTTATGCTTACACCTATAGCAATCACCTTGCATTTATTACTATGGCTCAGGCTGCAAGAATGAGCTGAATTATTAACTACTGTCCCTTTGGATTTCTTATTTAGGGTGGTAAAACAGCTGTAGAAAGCTGAAAAGAAGTCTAGGCGCACATCTTGTCTTTTCAGCCAGTTTCTTGTGTTCATTATGGTCTATAAACAAATATCTCTCAGGTCTCCTAAATAGATTTTCTGATCGTGCTCCCAGAACAGACCACCACCAGCCTCATTAAAGCTTATTTATGCTACTTTCATGCATGAATAAAAAAAACTCCCATTCACTGCTGATTTTATTTAGTTAGATCCTGTGCCTTGTGGCAGACATTGAATCAGAGTGACATTTATTGGCTCAAAAGAAAAAGCGAAAACAGTGGGACTGCAGCGAACAGTTTGACACCTCTGTTGTTCGCGACGTGAAAAGGAAGGGGTTAACCTGTTCTTGGCTGTATTGTATTGATTGAGGCCCACGCAAAGAAAATACAGCTGTAAACAGTTAGGAGTGTTCCCTGGTAGGGGCTTTTTTTTTTTGGTAAGTCATTGAACTGGGACTTTGGAGGTATGAACTGTTGTTTCCCAGGGATGCCACCCGCTTCCTGCATGATAGGAGAGGAGGGAGGTCACTGCTTTGCTCCAGGTCCCAGCTGGGGATGGTGCTTTCTCCTCTAATTCTTCTAACTTGCTTGTCTGTGGATGGCTTCCCAGAAGAGTGACATCTCTCTGTGTGCTCGTGGCGATGGGTCCTTCTTTCGGCTGGGGCCTCTAGGCACCGCTACAGATAGCAAACACGGCTTCCCCTTTACGTTGATCTCCTTCATCTCCATCCATGCTGCAGTGTCTGCAAGGTAAGATTAATGGCTTGGAAAGAGAAAAATCGATAAAAACGAAGAACAGCGGAGTAAACTTGCAGCAGGTGGGAAGCTGTGAGATGGCTCTATTTTCCTCCGGTCCCACTGGCTGCTGATTTCCAGCAAAGGTATTTTTGCAGGAGAAGGATGTGAGCCTATAGTTTAAGTCACAGGGTGAACAAAAAGCAGCTTTGTGCATTTACTCTGGGCTAAGCACATTGTGAATATTCTTAAGCATCGCAACCAGGATTAACATCCCTGCATGTTAATGCCTGGAATTCAGTGAGAAGCAGAGCAGGAGAGTGGGTTCCCTGGGCACGCTGTTAGGTGTCTCTTTGAACCGCTGTTAAACAGCTTCCTATTACTCTTGCTTGCTTCCCCCCTCCTCCATTTTTTTTTTTTTTTCTTCAACAGCTTCTGGAAGAAGTCCTGATAGATTTCACCTTTCTGAAATTTACCGTACTGTTTTGCCTCCAAATACACCTGCATGGCAATAGTATGTATATGAAGAAAAACACCATGTGGACAGAAGTAGAGAGTTTGTTATTTACAGTGGATCATTAACCTGGTGTGCAAATTTGACTTGATCTCTCCTTTTTTTATGCTCCCCCCTCTCTGTGGAATTTCAGAGCCCGTGAGGAGCTGCTGCCTTTTGCCGCCCCAGGATCCCAACAAGGAATGGGAATCTGATGGATTGCAAATGCACCCGCTTGGTTTAACCCCCAGCCAACCAGATAAGTGCCCTTTTAATTTTCTCGCAGTCGTGCTTTAGCCATATCTGTGCACAAAACATCTCTCTTCATGCTGATTTTAATTTGTCTTCACAAACGAACACTCTGTGCTTCTCTCTTCTGCTCAGAAATCCCAATAGCAGACAGTGGTGTTCTATGAGTGTTCTTAATTGCCAGGAGCTGCTGCAGCCCAGGGCTCAGGGAGCTGCGGGTCGGTGGCAGCCCCAGCCTCGGGCAGCCCCATGATGTTGTGGGCAGCGGCTCCATGGTGCTGCTGCCGCGACCCATCAGCCCGTGCAGTCCTCTGGGGCTCATTAGGGGCTTAATAACCACACGTGGCTGGCTTGATAGGAAAGATGCTTGTGCAGGCTTGGCGTGATCTCAGAGAAAGCAGCTAACGCCACTGGAAGGAGAGGGCTTTGTGCATGTGCTGTTCATCTGTGCGATAGGGGAGAAGTGATAGCCCCCGCTTCTTCCAGCAGGGAGATGAGCAAGGATGTGGGGCAGAAGCCCTCAGTTACAGTGGGATTGTATGGGGGCACGCAGAGCGTTGTCGTGGGTGAGCAGCAGCAGGAAACGTCCCTTCAGAACTGCGGGGACAGAGAATGCAGTATGTCAGCAAAATGAGTTTGGGTTTCTGTAAGTGACTGCTGCCTGCTGACCGACATGCTGATACAATTATTAAGTAATTTGAGGAAACAAGAAGATGTGGTTCTCTTGTAAAGTCTCTCTTTCAATAGCACACAGTCATGAGGCTGGGACAAATGTTTGCTGTACCTGTGACTGACAGCATTAGAACGAAAAAACACGGAGGCAGCGTGTACAAGGGAGGGGATTTATGGCAGGCAGGAGAATGGGACCCAAATCACTCCATGTCTGTCTTGTCTGCTCTAGCAGGATTGATTAATATCATAAAATACCCCTCTTGCTGTTGGGGTAACTACAAACATGCTTGCTATAGCAAATTAGGCTGTGCTACTTGATGTGAATTTGCCTTACCTACCGAAGTGGTTAGAGAGTTTCCTGATGAAGACATCAGCCCAGAACAGAGGGAAAGTGGAGAACGATTCCCTGCCACAAACTGACCCCGAGCACAACCTGTGGACTCCATGTCCTGTCACTGACAGCCTGGAAACGAGGCTCATAACACTGCTGTCCTGGCAGCCAAGGGCCACTGAGTCGTGGGAGGGACAAGGACTGGAGGGATGGAGTGGGAGTTCGCTGCAGCACAAGAGCTGGATCAAAGTCAGCCTACTTGATCCCTGGAGTGTCTGCAGTTCTCTCTTTTCTTGGAAAAGCTCCTTGTTCATGCTGTTGTTACCCAGAAAGGTTTTCATATTAATAGTACCAAAAGCATCTCTGGTATCAGTGACTGTCTGCTCTCTATCTTGCAATTGATAGCAATAGTTATCCTTGGCTCTTCAGTGATCTGATAATAACATGGCTTGATATTATATTAAGAAACACTGACGAAACAAAGGCTGTGGTAAAGTGCAGTCAGGGCTCTTTCGTTCATCAAAGATGAATAGGAAATTGAAACATAACATTTGTGCACCTCAATTAACAGGGCTGTTTGCTCCTCTGAAAAAAAAATAATATAAAAAATAATGTAAGTGATTTCCAAGGTCTTGATTGCTAAGTTTGCAACTTGAAATATCCTTTCTGCCGCTGTGCCAATATCGATGCTTACCCAACTTAGGCCCCATTACATCAACCTGCAGTTTGTTTGCTGGGTGGATCTCGAGGTAGAGGAGGACTCCACAGATCTTGACAAATTGCTGCAAAAAATCTTGTCCTGAATGGAAGAGCCCCAGATCCCTCACTCTTTCCTTGTCTTACAGGTGAACCTTGAAGACGGCTGAGGCGCTGTGTATCTCCTAAATGCATGCCCTTCCCCTGGGGATAGAAAAGCAGCCATGGGGAAAGACAAGAAAAAAGAGGAGGCTGTCTTTCTGAGGAAAAAGATAACTTTGCTGAGGGCTTTCTCGCTTCTCATCGGCAGCATGGTTGGCAGCGGCATCTTCATCTCCCCCAAAGGAGTGCTGAAAAACTCGGGCACTGTGGGGTTCTCCCTGGTGGTGTGGTTTGCCTGTGGGCTCCTCTCCATGTTCGGTGAGTGGGAAGTTGGGTCGGCCTTTGCTTGAGCAGCCAGCAGGTGAGGGGAGCCAGCAAAACTGGAAGCGTAAGAAGTTGGGAGTGAAATAGAGCAAAATCTCCCCGTTCTGAGTGCCACAGAAGTAAAGGCTTGCTAAGGCTGGGGGTTACCAGCACCTCTGCTGGGGCAGGTGAATGTCTGTTCAAAATGTTTTGGGGGAGTCAGGCCTACCTCAGATCCGGGAGATGGAGCAGATATCAGTGCTCTCTGTTTGCTCTGCTGTTGGCTTTTAGTACCCTTCTTGTCTCACAAAGGGTTGACTTTTTGATGACATGTTGATTTCTGCTCCTTTGAAATAATGTAAGTCTTACAGTTAGCATGCAAAAAAAGCCCTGGCTTTTAGTTTTCTTCATTAACTGTATAGAAGCACTTTCTCAGCAATCCTCCAACAGTGCTGCTGGGAGAAATGCAAGATCTCACAGCTCTGGGGAGAAAGCTGGTGTTTATTTCAGTGGGTAACTTTAAAGTTCTTCCTCTTTCACCACTTGGAAAAAAAAAAAAAAACAAAAGAAGAAAGGAAAGATACTCCATGTGGACAAAATACCCTGGAATGAGACATTTCTAAATGTGGCATTTAGAAACCGAGACGTTCAATTATTTACCTGGGAGTGATTGTGGTTCTTTCTCTTTGCTATGCCTTCCAGTATTTCAAGTTCCGTGTGCTGCTGAGCATAGGTTGCCTTTACTACACATGTGGGATACAGCTTGTGCGTGGTTGATTGGGGAAAGATCTATTTTTGCCTGAAGAAAAATCACAGATGCTCTTTTAACTGAGCTGAACAAAAAGTGATCAGGTGTGTGCTGGTCATGTAGCTCAACCCCTGCATGGGGAGGCATCTTTTGGTCTCCTCTTGTGGCCTGGCTGCCTCTTTGTCAAGTTGCTGCTAAATTTTGTGGCTAAATCTGTTGTTTGGTTCTTCTAGCCCAACTTCACAAAACACTTAAACACAAGCTTGCAGCAAAGGAGAGCCGCTGAGTAAAATGTGAGGGATCTGCCAAGACTTTTGGCAGGGTGTTGGCACAAATTCACATAGAGGCAGAAAAGTCTAGGGTCTTTGCCATTGGCGTGACCATGAATGGTCTCTGCAGGAGAGAGGGGAGCAGCTGTACCACTCCGGGGCTCCTGCAGGGCTGCCCAAGCTGGGACAAGCAGATGGGGTATCTCACCTGGGGGTCATACCCCGACAGCACTCAGCCCCTTCACGTGGGCATCGTGCTCAAAGGCGTGAAGCGTTTATGATCTCTCGTAAAACATCCCCTGTCCACTGTGTAGCATAGAAGAGAGGGGACAACCCAAACCTCCAGGGGTCAAAAGGGGTCTCTTGTGGTTTAGTGGTTAGTGGGTAGCAGTGGTTCTTTCTCCTACCTTTCCACATGACTTCCCTGGAAAGTTGTATCATTAAACAAATTAGCAGAAAATTTCCTTCCTCTGACAGAAGAGTGAACTACTTCTAAACATCATAACACACAAAAATGTGGAAAGGAATGGTTCTGCTAAAAGCTGTTTTTCTTCTTCTGCTTCACTGCTTATTTTAAGCAGGCTCCTTCAGGCCCTCAAAGGCACAGAGAAAAGAGGAAATCCAAAGGATGATTTACTAAGCTTATTTATACTTTGCCAGGTGCCTTGTGTTATGCAGAGCTTGGAACAAGGATCACCAAGTCTGGAGGACATTACATCTATATTTTGGAGACCCTGGGGCCTCTGCCAAGTTTCTTGTTTCTGTGGGCAGAGTTTTTTGCTATCAGGTAGGAGATTTTGTTTGTTTGATTTTTGCTGGATGCTCTGCAGTTTGCTGCTGTGTTTTGTTTGTTTTGGTGTTCAGTTATGGTGCCAGGTAACAGTCTAAGTAGTTTGTAAAGGAAATGGGAAAAAAAAAACAAACAACAATCAACTGGATAACTTTAAAGACTGTCAGTGATAGAAGGAAGAAGACAGAACGAGCAAATAGTTGCATGTGTTCACTGCAATCTGTGCTTGAGGAATCTGTTTCTTCTCCCCTGGCAGCTGGTATCCTTCAAAAGAGCTGTGGTATTTTTTGGCCACTGAGAGCAAATGACAAGTTAGTTTCTGATTTTCTGCTTCCATCGTGAAGCTTCTCACATTCTTCTGTGGAAAATAAAAAGCTTTCTGGCTTAGTCCCAAGTTAAATACCAAGTTAGAAATTTGTAAATTGCTTTTTTTTTTTTTTTTTTTCCACCTGAAAAAGCTAATCCTCCTCTCCCAATGGCCTGTCCTCCATGTGCGCTGAGATGAAGCAGGACACATGAAACACGCAGCACTGCCGTGTGTGATTAATCTCAACTTTTGTTTTTGAATTAAGAATTAAACTTCTTGCATCTGTGCCTCTTAACCTATTTACTGAGAAAACCTGTGAAAAAGATGACAGGATCCGTGTGGTAGGGTGGGTCTACACACTATGAGGAAGCTTCGCTCCCTATATCCTGCCATGTTGAGGCCATCCACAGAGCCAAGTGTGACCCTGCCTGGTTTCCCTCCCCAGGCCCGCCAACAGTGCTGTGGTCTCTCTGGCATTTGGTCGCTACTTGCTAGAGCCATTTTTTGCCCCCTGTGCAGCGCCCATCCCTGCTGTGAAGCTCGTCTCTCTCCTGGGCTACTGTAAGTACAACCCTCCATGCCACGTCTCGGGGCCTCTCTGCCTCAGACTTCCCATGGGGTGTTATCTTCTGGGATTGGGCCCAAGACCTGAAGGCATTCTGTCTGCATCTCTTGCTCTGAACACCCTCTTTGGGAGGATGCACTTTTGTCCCCATCACCCTCAACGCAAGAGCAGTTCTTCCTGCATGTGCCAAGCATGGGCTGCAGCATGCTCTCCTCCCCAGATGCAGTCCTCACCCTCAATTCCTGGAGCGTCACCTGGAGCGCACGGCTGCAGACGGCTCTCTCCATCGTCAAGCTGCTGGCCCTCATGCTCATCATTGTGCCAGGGATGATGCTGCTGGCCCAGGGTAGGTGATGTCTGAATGTACACAGCTCAGGGCTGAGTGTGTGGGATAGTTGGCTTCAAGCTGTGTCACTTCTGTGGTGCTGGTGTTCCTGGCTCAGCTTTCTCCGCAGGTTTTTCACAGAATCACAGAATGGCCAGAGTTGGAAGGGACCTGAATGACTGTGAGTCTCCAATCCCCCCTGCCACACGCAGGGCCACCAACCTCCGCATTTAATACCAGACCAGGCTGCCCAGGGCCCTGTCCAACCTGGCCTTGAACACCTCCAGGGATGGGGCATCCATAGCCTCTCTGGGCAGCCTGTTCCAACACCTCACCACCCTCTCTGTAAAGAACTTCCCCCTGACATCCAACCTAAATCCTCCCTCCCTCAACTTAAAACCATTTCCCCATGTCCTGCGGTTATCTACCCTTTCAAAGAGTTGATTCCCCTCCTGTTTGTAGGCTTCCTTTAGGTATTAAAAGGCTGCAATGAGGTCACCCTGCAGCCTTCTTTCCTCCAGGCTGAACAAGCCCAGCTCCCTCAGCCTGTCTTCATGGGGGAGGTGCTCCAGCCCTCTGATCATCTTTGTGGCTCTCCTCTGGACCCTCTCCAACAGCTCTCTGCCTTTCTTGTACTGGGGGCTCCAGACCTGGACACAGTACTCCAGTACTTTTTGGGAATGAGTGGGGCTGTATGAGCCCACCTGGGCTGACAGAGGCACACTCCTCTGCTGACCCTTTCCTTTGGGATACCCACTGTCAGCATGTCTTGAAATCCTTCCAAAGCAGTGCAGAATGCCATGGACGTGGGGGACATGTGACAGCATCCCCTGGTGTCCTGAACCTGTCACAGCCCTGTAAGGAATTACCAGCCCCCAGCTGAGCCCTGGTAACTGCATCTCTACCCTTCCTGTGGCTTTTGCTGATGCTTTTTACCCCCTAATGGAAATAGGTAGTAACACAGTAAACTTACAATGGACTCATGCACAACTGTGTGCTCATATCCAGAGGAAAAGAAAACATAAGATAAAACCTCGCAACGATATCTTCTGGGACTGATACAAGAGTATTGGCTTTAATCCAAGCCTCGGTTTATAGAAAAGCCCATGGCATTCACACTCAGGGGATGAAGCCAGCTCTGTTTTCACACTATTTCCTTCCTCTGCAGAGGAAACAACAAAGGCAGGAGGATCAACATTCATGTTTCTTTCTGATGTCTGGTGCTGGCTCCTTTGAATGTGCGAAAACCCCCTCGGGCAGGCAGCACTTTTGAACTGAAGGTCTGCCCTGCAGCTAGAAATCCAGAGCCATTATTGTTAGGGATGCCTTCAAATGGCAATCTGGATCCCTGGCACTGTCTTCCAGTGAGGAGGATAAGTGCCGGTGACATCTGGAGAGAGAATCCACCGAGAGACCCCGGGATGACAGGTTGTGTTTAATGTGACTCATGGGGGACTCTAAATCACTCATTAATATATTGCAGACAATAAATCCTTTTTATGTGCCATCACTTATAAGCAGTCACTTTGGTGTATGAAAAGACTACCCCAACTGGCCCATTCCATTTTCTACATTAGTTTTCTTCAAATCCATGTATTTTTTTTTTTAACAACTTCATTTTTGTTCTTGTTTTTAAATGAGCCTACCTTGCTCCGCAGCCTCTCCCTGCTCTCTTTGCTTACACTCTTGTTCTTCCCCCTGCCATTGCCTTCCCCTTTGACTGGGATTTGTTTCAGAGCCTTGCTGGATCAGTGCTCCACACCCCATGCCCAACTGAGGTGCCTCACTGGGAGGAACAACCACACAAATTCTGTGCCTCTTCTTTTAAATACATTTTGAAATGGAAAACCAAACATAGATGTGGAACCCAAACTTAGGGCCACTTGGATTTGAAAATGTTGGAAATACAACTCCTTTTGGCTGTGTTCTTGCTGCTCTTCCTTCAGATAAGAGGCTGCTCCATGGTCCTGCCTGCCTCTCCTTATTTTTCTGACGTCTGATAAAATCTGCCCCATAACCAAAATCCTGACTTTGATCTGTACATTTTTTTTCTTTTCTGAAGAGGAACAGCTTTGTAAAACTCACCATTCCTCTTCCGCTTCTTGGTGCTGGCCCAGATTTATTTCAAGCAGAGCACTTTTAGGAAAACTGCAGGAGCTGGTAAAATGCACTTTGATCCAATCACCTCTACTTTTTATTACTGTGTTTGTTTTGCCCCCTGTGTCCCCACTTCCCCTCCTGCGGGGCCATTCCCACGCCAGTAGCCCCTCTTCTCGGTTCCCATGCTCCGCACAGCATGGGACCAGGGGAGCTGCATTAGCTGCCTTGCTGGCTGCACAACATCAAACAGAGCCAGCATCCGGCTGTCAGTGGATGGGGAGAGGGGTCAGCCCAGGGAATCAGAGCTGAGCTGTAAGAAAGGATGGGAGAATTCAGGTCTTCTCCTCTCTGTGATCTCCCACTTCTAGACAGTGCCTTTCCTGACATATCTCTTGTAGCTGAACAGGAGAGGATAGTTTTCTTCTGTCCCTGACTATGCCAACACAGCACTGCAAATTAAAACAATGCAACAAATCTGAATACCTGGCGCCCATGATGTCACACACACCTGTCCCAGGTTTGGGCAGGTGGTACGTAGCCTGCAGGAAGGATGTCCATATCTGACACATCTGTTGTTTTTTCTCCTCTGTAGGCCACACCAAAAACTTCCAGGATGCTTTTGACAGGCAGTCGCTGGTTCCAGATAAGCTGCCCTTGGCTTTTTATGCAGGCATGTTCGCATATTCAGGCTGGTAGGTGTGATGGGAGGGCAACTCACTGACAGTGTGTCACTGTCTGAGAGCTGCTTCAAAGCCTCTCCTTGTGTCTGCACAGGTTCCAGACCAGCTTTGTGCGTGAGGAGTTGGTCAGACCCGAACGGTAAGGCTGGAGAAGTAGATGGCTTTTGTACCTCACTCCTGGGCTACCACTGCGTCCCTAAACACCAGCAAACAAAACAGGAGGAAATAAGTCTGTGGGTTCACCAAACCAACAGCAGCTGCAGTCTGCAGTAACATGATGAGAAATGAAGATATAACAGCTTGTTCACTGCGTGTCTCTCTTCCCCTTTCTTACAGAAACATCCCCCTGGCTGTCATTGTGTCTGTGATCACTGTCATTGTGGGGTATATGCTCACCAACATCTCCTATTACACTGCCCTGGGAACACAAGATGTTCTGGCTTCTCCAGCTGTTGCTGTGGTGAGTTGTCACCCTACTGATAGCTGTCTTTAGTGTGGTCGGTTTATACTGAAGGGAGTGGTCTTGACAAGGGTCTAGGAGATAGTTTTCCTCATAAAAGTCTTTTGTTTTTCTTTGTTGTTTCTCTGAATTATTAGAAAACATTACCTTCTAGTCTTTCTTAAAAAATAATGAAAAAGAGTCTGCAGATAAAGGGCTGGAGGGCTGGAACACCTCTCTTAGGAAAGGTTGAAGGAGCTGGGATTGTTCAGCCTGGATATCAGAAAGCTCCAGGAGACCTCACTGAGGCCTTCCAGTACTTGAAAGGAGCTTATAAGCAGGAGGGGAGCTGACTTCTTACGTAGTCTTGTAGGGATAGGACAAGAGAGAATAGCTTTAAACTAAAGAGAGGAGATTTAGGTTACATGTTAGGAAGAAATTCTTTACTCAGAGGGCGGTGAGGCTCTGGCACAGCTGCCCAGAGAAGCTATGGTGCCCATCCCTGGATGCACTCAAAGCCAGGTTGGATGGGGCCTTTGACATCCTGAGCTGCTGGGGAGCAGCCCTGTCCATGACAGGGAGTTGGGGCTGGTGGGCTTTAAGGTCCCTTCCAACCTAAGCTGTTCTATGAAGAGATAACAGTAAAAAAAGGCAAGATTTTAAGTATTAAGTATTTTACTCCTTCATTGGAGGAAGTTTTTTCTGCTTGAATCTGATATTACCTAGAGATCACTACATGTTCCTGCAGTCATGATTGCTCTTCTTCCAGAGTTTTGTGCAGCAAGCCTGCACAAACCTTATTTCAGTGGTCCCTGTCCTCGTTGCGCTGTCCTGCTTTGGCACCATGAATGGAGGAATCCTCACATTTTCCAGGTCAGATCCCTCAAAATGTATTGCATTTTGGCTTAATGTTTTGGAGAGAAGCACCAGTAACCCGTGTACGTGACAATCATTTGAATGGCATTTTGTGAGAAAGCTAAGGCCTTTGACTCCCAATACATAACCTGCAGAACACTCTGGCTGTCTTGAGTTGTCTTCCTCCCTTTCCTGGCCAGGTTTACGCTCTCTCTGACTGGCCAGAAAACCAAGGTTTTCACCTGCTCCCACACTTCATACTCCAGTTTGAAGTAAAATATCAACGTTTCTGGTGAACTACAAGCTTTGTTGACATGACAGCTGCTCAGTGAAGCAGAGTCATTGTCTGCTGGCTTCATCCAGCGCCTTTGCTGCAGGGCATAAGTCTCTGTGTTATGAGGACCTCTGGCTAAAACAAGCGCTCCCTGGAGAACTTTGCTTTAAGTTTGGTGAAACATTATCAGAGCCAGGTCATTCCTAAAGCAATAGCTGAGGCTCAACAAGCCTTGCTGAAACAATAATAAGAACTTTGTTCCATGGAAAAGTTATCTTGCCAGCTCCACTGGCGACTGTACTGTGTCCTTGGGCGAGCCTTGAAATTGGAGAGGAGGGCAGAGCTGATGGAAAAGTGCGTCCTCCTGGTCCTGAGGAGCTGAGCAAACTCTCTGGAGCCAGCTCCATTTCACAGCTTTGATTGCAAAAGGAAAGATCATTTGATATGAAAGGGATGTTTCAAAGCACAAGAGCTAATGAGTTATTTGATCTGCTACCCTCAAGTCCTGTATTAAACATGGTGAGGAGAATCCCCCTGCTTAACGTCCCTAGCTAGAGATTTTCTTTGAGGATGGGAAGTCCCTGGAGAACACAGGGGTTCTGCATGTTTCTGTCATCCTTCTCTCCCCCTTCCTGGCATCATTAACATAATCACTGCAGAAGGGCCATATGAACAGTGATGGGGCCTCCCTGGCTGATGGCCAGCCACACCCCAGCAAAACCACAGAGACAGCAATAAAACCAGTTACACACTCATGCCCCAGCTGCTTCGGGCTCCGTTCCAGCCCAGCTGATGCTCTGGCTTGGTGTGTTTGTGGATATTAAGTTTATAAAATGCAATGCTTTCTCCTTAATTACCCTTTCACAATTCAGGAGAGGAATGGAGGCAAGGAGCTCTCTGCTGTTGTTTTGTAGCTTGCCCTGTTTGTAGCTGTCATCTTTGTAATACACAAAACTACTTTCTAACAACTGGCAAGAGACTTGCTCTGCTCTTTGAGGAACTTGGGCTTTATTTATCTCTCTCTCTAGTTTATGTATATCTCTATGTAGTTTATATTTATAGACAGAGACATATATATTATCCCTGGCACATAGCTGCTGCTGTCGCACAGCCAAGCAGGCTTTCCTTGATCTTAAGCCTAGTCTCCTTTTGGGATGAGCATCAGGACTGACAACTCCTCTCCATGAACTTGCCAACCTCTCTTCTAAAGACTTGAGGTTTGTGGCCCCTCCACCTCCTACTGGCTTGTTTCTGCTTCCAGCCTCAACACATTCATTTTCATGCTGTGCTCAACTAAAGGTCACTACTAACTATTACCCACAGAGACACTACCAGTAGTGGGCTCTGCATCATGCTGAGATAAATGGTCCTTGAAGAAGTATGGAAATCTTTGGAGATTTTTTTCCCAAATCCACTGAAAAGTGATGCTAAATGGAGAACTGTGGCCTTAAAGAGCAGGCTTGTGATGACGAGATCAGTCCAGCTGCTGATCTTTTCATTTCTAGTGCAGATGTGGGATGCTGATGCATAGAGCTCCCTGTCTTTTCCTAGGACACTGTTTGTGGCCTCCAGGGAAGGGCAGTGGCCTCCTCTCTTCTCCATGATCCACATTCGAAGACATACACCCCTTCCTGCTGTCATGCTTATGGTAAGGAGATCTGCCTATCTCACTTCTCGCAGTCTTGGCTTTCTTGTTTTACATGGCAATCTGCAGAGCCCGGAGAATCTGAAAAGTTTTAAAGGGTGTTGAGACACTGTCAGCTTGCAAAAAAGCAAGTCCTCTCATGTCAGTAGTAAGACTCAAACCCACTGTCTCAAAGTCTCTACCTTTTTGTCTTGGCCATATTCTTTCAAAGTACTGTCCCTACCATTGCTGCCTGATATTTTCTATGGAAATTTCTCGGCCAGCCTTCGGTTACTTGAAAAACTGAAATTCCTAGGTTAGTGGAAATGCTAGAAATGCATATTTGTGGAGAGGCTCTCAGATTTGGGTTCTTCCTCCCTTCCCATTCATCTTTTTTTCCCAGCAGTGGTCCATCATAACACTGCCTCTGCATCTTAGTTGACCTGTTAGAAGCTTAGCAAATACTTCTGTGTGAAGCCTTTGTACCACAGGCCTTTGGGCATGTTTGAATTGCCCTGCCTAGGACATAGAGCACCAACAATGCTGTTGGTCTCCATCCTTTCTGTAGCACCATAATTTTGTATTTAGAACTTTGATCAGCACTCTTCAGTCTGTGAGAGTGCTTTGCAACATGTTTGGTGACCTCTGAAATGTTGGGTCTGTGAAGTAGCTACCTGTGATTGCAGGGGGGTGAGGGAGATGACCCGTATCACCCTTCCCTGTCTGAGGACCATAGCAAAGTTTAATTGACCATATTTAATCTTCACAATGCTCAGTTCCCTTTGGTTACTGCCATGGTGTGTATTGGAGATATCTACCATCTACTGAACTTCTTCAGTTTCTCCCGATGGCTCTTCATAGGATTAGCCACTCTTGGGCTCATTGTCCATCGCTACCGTCACCCGGAGCTGCAAAGCCCATTCAAGGTAATTCATGGTTTGTATCTAACAGCCTGGAACACATGCCTGTCATTTTTCTCTCTTAGAGCATTATGTGGCTGTGATTGCCTTTAGGCTCCAAGGGCTCTAAATCCCTATTTCTCTGTAAGGAAAATCCCAAGGTTGATTGATGTGCCCAAACAACAGATGTGGTAAATTCTGTTCAAACCAGTTCTACATGGGGCTACCAGTTGCAGCTGCAGAGTGACAGCTAGCTCCAGGAGACAAGGTATCAGACTGGGAACTGCAGAAGGCAGTTCTCATGCTCTCCTCTCTGAGGCTGCAGGGAAGGACCTTTGCCTGGATGTGATGGATCAGATATGTCTTAGCCCTAGTGAGGAGCGGAATGTGTCATGGGGAAAAGAGCATTTCCAGATGGAAGATCGGAGCAAACCTGACATAGAAAATCATCTCCTGGTACAAAAGTATCGTACAGTGTTAAACAGCTTGAGCACAGCTCGCTGAGTCCCCTGCCACACACAGCCTCTATGGGATATTGTCTGAACTACAAGTACAGGCAGCCTGAGGGGTTTCAGAAAGTGCCTCATGCATGGTGCTTCCATGTGCACAGCTCCAGAACATTTGGAATGCATGAAACCTGTGGCCATAAGAAATGAAAAGCATTAGAAGTGGACAGAGGGGAAGAGAGGAGCCGAGGGAGTTCAGTTTCCCACTCCTCAAGGGGAAGCTGGAGGACGCCCTGTCCCCTTTCTCCATTCCTGGACCTTTTTGCTGGCCGCTGGGGTCCTGCTCGTGGGGAGTGCTCAGTCCCGAAAGCTGGCATGGCTTTCAGAGCCCCTGCTCAAGGCAACTCTCCCACTGCCAGATAATCTGCAGGCAGCATTTGGCTGGGGCCATGCACAATGTGTTCCCCTCTCCAGTCACGCCTGCACACTGCCTCCAGCCAGTTCCTGCAGAGGAGAGGAGACCTCTGAGGCCACAGGCACTGGGCAGCTGATCAGCCAGAAACTCGGGGAAAAGAAGCACTTTCCACCACTCCCAGGGCTCCTCCCCAAGCTGAGTGGGGCCTGATGCAGAATTTGGGGTAGTTCTTCTTCTTGGTGTTTACTGGAGACAGCGTATTTAGTAGAGACTTTGAGGCTTCTGAGCTTGCTGACTGGCTGGCTCATGCAGTCACCCAGACTCAGATTTTTAATAAGTTGTTTTTTTTTCTTTTAAAATAGTATTCTTGGGGGAAATGTATTACTGAGTAGCACTGGTGATGTTTTTACTTTCTGAGAATCCGTTTGAGATAGAGCTTTAGGTTTTTAATAATTCCTAAGAACGGGAGTGAGGAAGATGATGGTATTTTAGTCAGCTTGGTGGTCTCTTCCTCTCTCTCCCCATTTTTTAGACCCACCTCAAACCCGAAGTATGGTTATCTGCAAGAGCAAAGAACAGCGCGGATGTGATGTGTGCATGTGCTGCTCTCCAGTGGTCAGAAATATTTCTTCGCCCAACAGCAGTTTGCTTACAGAGAACAAATAATCAAAGATAAATATAAGAGATTGTGCTGGTAGTTTTCTCCTGCAGATTTTTAGTTGAAAATGGTAAGAAAACACCAGCAAGGGGAGAGAGCAGTTCCCTCATGCATCTCTCAGGCAGATGTGCTGTGTGAATATGTGCACGTAGGAGATGCTGGCAAAGGATACTCAGGCTGGAAAGTCAGTGAGAGCATGCAAGTTTGGTGGCTGGACAGCTGCCATCACTAGAGCAACTATCTCCCCCAGCTTAGTATGGTCAGCATCCAAAATATGATCTGTGTTACAAGAAAAGAGATTGTCACCCTAGGTGAGGTCAGCAGCTCCTTTATCAGATGTGGTGAGGAGTAATTTGGCTGAGGTCAGATCTAAAGAAGAAGGAAATGTTTCACAGCTTCTTACTTCAGTTTTGCCCTCCAAATAACACAGACGAATTGACTCACCCAAAAGAATGAGGCTGAAGCACTGAGTGCTGTTCTGGTCTTTCAGCAGACTGTCAATGAAAACCGCATTCTTGGCACAGGTGCTGCAGAGCTGGTTTATCCTGTGTTGGTTGCCATAGGCCTCAGGCAGGCTGGAGGCAGCTCAAAGTGACTCACGAGTGTTATGACCAAAGATTGGATTGTTTCAAAGGGATTTTGCTCTTGGCATCAGAATTTCCATCAGCAGTTGCCACAGGTGACAAGTTCAGGGGTGTGTGTATGCACATGCACACATGCTGTGCATAGAATGAGCTGCTGCAGTTGACTTCTCCCCAGCATGGTGTGTGGTTGCAAGTGAGGTGAAGCTTCTGTCTGTGTGCATGGAGGGAGGCATGCAACTTGCAGGGCACTCTGGGCTCCAAAGGTGGCATGAGAACACTTTTGTTCTCTGCATCCTACTTGTTCACAACGGATTGTACAGAAATAGCTTGCAGGACAGACTTTTCTCTTCTTCTTTAAAATGGATACACGATTATAGCTTGTGCTGGCTGGTATGATCAGTTTTGCCTTCACTCTTTTCCCCAGGTCCCCCTGTTTGTTCCAGTCTCTTTTACCATCATCTGCCTCTTCACAGTAGCAATGTCAATCTATTCGGACCCTGTAAACATTAGCATTGGATGCACCATGGTTTTAAGTGGCTTTCCAGTCTACTACCTCGTAATCCATAGGAAAATGTCAAATCGCTGCCACAGACTGCTCTGTAAGTATGCTCTTGGGTTTCAGTGTTCTTGACCTAAGCACACTCAGGGGTAGGGTGGTTGCTTGGGAACATACTAATAATCCAGCCTAATCTTTTTAGAAAAGATAGGGTTGAGGTCTAGATCCAAGCAGATTGGCACTGTCATGTCTTCATCATATCTGTGGGGTCAGTATTTCTATCAAATTTGGATGAAACAGAACAAAAGATCAAATGCTGATGTGGAGAGAGTGAGGGAGGAGCAGGCACCATGCACAAACATTTCCTGAAAGGCTGGGGAGGGGAGTGGTGGGAAAAGATGGTGCAGGCTGCCTGGTGGGGGGGCCATGTATTTAATGGTATAGGTTTGGGTGTAGATGTAGGTGTGGAAATGAAGTACCTTTCCTCCCCATGCAGTACATGGCACAGGTTTACCTTAGGTGTAGCTCTGGTGGCACAAGAACAGTGATTTATTCTAAAACAAGAGCCTGGTTTTGATTTTAACTTCTAATTTCAATTATGAATCTTGAATTCTTTTGATTTGGTGTTGGGTCGAGATATATTGGTAACTAGTGAACAGAAAAAAACATACAGCAAAAAAAAACCCACCAACAGATTCAGTCATCTGCTAACATAAAATGCTCCATCCATCCTATGCCAATGTTCTTCTGATTTTTATCCATGGCGTAGGATATTGTCCAGATTAAACTTTCTTTTTTTTCTCCCCTTCAGATTATCTTACACACAAGCTGCAGCTACTGTTGGAAGTAGTTCAACAAGAAATCAAGACATACTGAGGAAACCATCAGAACTTACAGGAGAAGATATAATCTACTTGCTACACGCCTGATGCCTTTGATCCTTCCAAACACAAGCCATGCTCTTATTCATTTAATCACTGCAAATGAGGATGAGCCTGAGCCAAAACCTTGCTGCAAGCAGCCCTAAGCTTGCCATTTGGGATCTGATGAGCAAGTCACAGCTGCTTCAGCCCTTTTCTTTTTTAGCAGAACAATCTACTTCTCTGAAATAAGCTTTCCTTGCTTTCAGAGTGTCTTTGAAACAAAGATCCAGATTCTGCAGTCTAGCCCAATCCTCAGCAACTTATATATTATTTTTTAATTTCCTAACTTGGCAAATAGAGAGCCTACAGCAGAACTAGAATCTGGCTACATGGAAGTCAAGCACAGGATTTAAACTGAAGTCTAGGTCAGGCTGAATGGGGCTCTGAGCAATCTGATTTCACTGTAGGTGTCCCTGTTCACTGCAGCAGCTTTGGACTAGATGACCTTTAAGGGTCTCCTCCAACCCAAGCCATTCTATGGTTCTATGATTTTATGAAATCTGTAGCACCATGTGGAATGATGCTGTGGGGAAAGATTATAGAGGGAAATGGGCAAGGAGTGCAAACCAGAGAATGAAGTACATGTGGATGAAAGCAGGAGGTGGGGGGGGATAAAACTTCACTCACCAGGAAGCAAAGATTTGGGTTAGTGGGAAGATATTTGAAAATCATTTAAAATTCAAATAACGAGCTAAGAAAACTCAGAATGTTTTATTTATTGTTGTGTAAGTGAAATAACTCTATTTTGCTTCAAAATAATGCTTCAATTTTGAATTTTATTGCTTTGAAACGATATTTCAAAATGTACTGACACAGTAAAAAATGTATATTAAAAAAATAGCTAACTACCCCAAAGCAGAGTTCAGAATAGGCTTCGATTCTTTCCCAAGGACCCCACCTCACCTGGTACCACCAGTGAAGCTGGAAATTCAGCTTTTGTCCCAGCAGCAGTGAAATATGATTATCCTTTTGTTAGACAAGAGCAGTAAAGAGTCGTGGGCAGATTCCTTATGAAGTGTACCTTTTGGTGCTGTCGGAAGACATGAAAGACTTCAGGTCTGAGCTTCAACTTCAAATCTACAATCAAAAGACTTGCTGAATCAATACAGAAATGCTCATTTGAACTACTGGCACCAGAAAGGTTTCTGTTGTTGGATTACTTCAGTTTACATTATGAACGTTGCGAAGTTAGAAAGATAAAAAGCACAATTAGCTATTTCCAATCACTGAAGTGTTAATCTTTTCCTAGAAGATTGGAAGCAGCATCCTGAGCCTCATCTGATGGCCCTGGAGAGAGCAAGAGCAGAATGTGAAGCATTTGTAATCTACCAAGCATTCATGCACTTAGAGTAATGCCAAAGTAGCATTTATTTACCAAAACATGTAAAATGCACAGTCAAGGACTAGAAATAAATAAAGGCTTTGTTTTTTTTCTTCCTTTTCTTCTTTCTCTTCTTCTTCCTCTTCTTTTTCCTTTTTTTTCTTTTTCCATTTTTAAAAAATCTCTTTTTTTCTTTCCTTCCCCTCCCCCCTTACCCCCCCTTTTTATTTTCTTCCAAAGCAACTTAGAATTACTTTTCTTGTTGAGACCATTTCCTGTTATTGTGTGAAACAGAGCTGAGAGAGGAACACCATGGTTACGGGGCTCATCCTCCCCCTCTGACAAGTTAATGTACAACAGGAATTACTGGGGAAACCATCACAGCTAGGGAAGAAGGTGCTGCCTTCAAGTGGCAGTGTGGTTTGCAATGAGATTTGGGGGATTTTCCTGCATCATGAGGTGCTGTCAGTCTGTTCCCATACTGTAAGCTTGCACTGTAGCATCAGTACTTGCACACCAAACCTTGGAGTGGTCTGAAGCTGTGACAGAGCTGATTTGTATCTACAGAAATACACTTAGAAAAGGTGAAACATCACTTTTTTTTTTTTTTTTGTGTGTCTGTTTCCTCTGCAAAAGCAACAACGAGACTTGAAACTTGTGGAGAGAAGATAAAGACTGTGCTTTTTTTCATGTGCGTGATAAATAATTTCACAAACGCAGAGAAACCACGTGTGGGTGCCTCTGCTAAGCATGCAGGAAAAGGCAGAGCCATGGAATGTCTGTTCAGAGACGGAAATGCAGACAGTTCTGGTGTCACTATTAGAGTGACACCAGCAGAAATCAGAGGTTCAACAGCCCCGCAGCCATCCATTGCAATTAAAAGTGATAAAAAGGGAAAATACAATGTCACAACGTACCTGCTTACAGTGAACGTATGTCTCCAACTTGCAGCACGTTGTTTGTTTTATGGAGGATGCTGTCCCCAGAAAGCTATGTAAACATTCTGTACCAAGCAGAATGTTTTTCCTAGAGCTGGTATCGCTGTCTGCTGAAACTCTTGGCTTCGGTTCAGAAGAGTATTTTAGCAGAGAATTCCCATATGCAGAAATGAACCTGAGGGATCTGAGCTGATAAATCTCATCAGCCAAAGAGAGCATAAAAGTTGCACAACTATGAGAAGCAGATATGATATGAGAGGTCAAAAGGCAGTCAGAAAGGGCTGGATGGGGAAAAAGCAAGGTTCAACTTCACACTCACAGCTCTGTTTCTTTTTTTGTCCTGTGTTTATAAAGAACACTCAGGAGGCAGCCTTTCCAGAAACGAGAACTGAGCTCTCTATGGTTCTGTCACCGCCAGTCTGGTCTAACCAGATTATCAGAGGATGAAACTGTTCTGGGCAATTCAACTGAACATAATTTGTGCAACTAAAACAAACCTACTCAGATGCAAGTATTTTATGTGGTTAATACTGCTTGACCTATCGTTAAGCTTTATGCTTCACAGCTCTTCTGGGAAACGCTGTCAGTCTTCCGCGGGGCTGCAAATCAGATAGGAAATCTCATCCTGCTCCGATTTCAGCAGAGAACGGCTCTGATTTGAAGGTAAAGGAGTAAAAAAGAGAGTAAGTAGCTCAGTGTGGGCTGATTCAGCCCTGCACTGCAGAGTCCTGTGCTTGTTCTGCACTTTTGTGGGTCTGTCTGTGCAACTCTGCCTACTGCATTTACCAGCCCAGGTGCACGCTGAGGGGTATTCCCACTTCATGCATTGAGATGGGGGTTTCGCTTTGCAAGGCAATGGCAGCTTTGGGTTTTCAAAGAATGATTATCAGCAGAAGCTGAATGGCAGGAGAAGATCTGGAGCGTTCCTGGCCATGTGAGGGGCAGGAGGGAAAAGGTGCAAGTCAGGCATTGGTGCCCAGTGTGAGAAGTTAAGCAAAAAGGACAAGCTATGCCGGCTCACAGGGATGTTGACTTTACTGATACGCCTGCCAGAACCATTAGCTCCGCCTGGCCGTTCTGCTCATGCCTGGCAGATGCGCGCGAGTATGGCGCAATAACCAGAAGGAAATGCTGCTTAGCTTCACTCCTTAACGGGCCCTGGGCTAGTGGGAAGGCATCCCTGACGTCCGGCAGCAGCGCTCCAGTTGGCCACTTGTATTTTATTTCTGAAGATCTCACTGCGTGCTAGGGTCCTCTTCCACGTGGGCATAGGGGTCAGAGGGCTGTGGTGACGCATAGGCACGTGACTGACAGCCGTCCGTCATGGGAAGTGGATGGGCAGCCTGCTGACAGCACCGTGAGTAGGGGACTCTGGGGAGGCAGCACGCGTGGGGCTCTGACACCTCTCCTGGGATGCAGCCAAGCTGGGGAGGGAGGCGGAGGAAGTTGGGGATTTCACAGTTTGTAGGTTTTGCTTTTGGCTCCGCTGGAAGGACACCTGCTTGCTGTTAGTCAGGCCATAAACCATGGTTGTCTTCGTTAATACCTCCGTTCTGAGAGCGGAGGCAATGTGGAAGGTGGTGTGAGGTTGCTTTTCATCTGTGCAGGCTATTGCAGCACGGACGTGAAGGCAAATTTATGGGGTATCTGTTACACAAGAGCAGATAGTGATATCTTTGGCAAAAGGTGGAGGACGCTGAATCCTGACAATGAAATATGTCTGTCTGCTACATTAAGAGCTTTACCTTCATTTCTTTCTCCTTGGGGTTAGCTGCTGAGTGAAAAAAAAACTGTCCGGGAGCACAAGCATTGGGAAGTGAAAGTGAAAGCGGGACTGAAGTGCACCCTTTTGGAGAGAGAGTGGGGTTAGAGCAGAGCAGGGGTCCCGGATCTATGCAGGGGTAGCAGTGGTCTGTGGAGCAGGGGGAGAGGGAACACGGACAGGGTGAGCAGGGGGAAGAGCTGCTGGAAACTTCATCTGATTCTTCCCAGCCTCCTTGCCCATTTTCCTCTGTTCCTTCTCCACCCCCTCCAAATCCCACACTCTATCCAAGAACTCACAGTTCTGCCACGGCAGCAGCATACCGCTGTGCAGAGGGGAAAGAAGGGGTGAAGGCATCCAAAAAAAGCTCCCAGGAGCATTGGATCTCATGAATGTCCTGCAATGGGGTTTGAAAGAAAATGAATTGGGAGCGTTTTTCTAGGAAAAGCCTGGCTAGTGTTACTCTGTATAAAGAGCACAACAGTCTGAAGACAGCGGTGGAACAAGCTAAGGCTGGGAAGGGGACTTGTGTCCTTCCTTGCTCTTTGTTCTGGCAGGCCAAGGGGCTGCCAGGCCTTTGTTCATGGGCCTTTGTACTGCAACCAACCCTAGAAGGGAACTCCTTGTTTGTTTTCCCTTGACTAGCCTGCTTTGAATAGCCCGATCCCTGCCAAAGCATGAAGGATGTCAGAATCAGATGAATGACCATTTCCCCTTGCACAGCCTGTTGAAATTCCTTGGGCTGCTGTGAGCATCTCCACCACAGACCCTTGCAAACTCCACAGCAGGCAGGTGGGCAACTGGCTTGGCTGCATTTGTGAGCCCTGCAATGAGGTCACGATGCAGGAGCATAGAAAAATGTTAGCTGGGCTGCAATCCAAAGCTGGGACAATTGAAGGAGGAGGAGGGAGAAAAAGCAAAGGGAAATTTGTATTTAAATTGCTGGTGGCCACCTGTTCTGCCCTCAGAGGTGGCATATCTTAAGGTGGAGCATGGGGCAGGCACTTTGAACTGACATGGGGAAATTCTAGGAAAAAATTATTCACTCAGAGTGTAGCAAACCACCAGTACAGGCTGCCCAGAGAAATTGTGAATGTCTCATCCCACAGCGAGCTGTGTCTGGCATGGGGAAGCCCAGCCTCTCCTCACTGGGGCCCCTATCCTTATACAGCCCCTTTTCTTTCCTCATCAGAGAAGGAGGAGTGGTGCTGCTAGTGCTTTCTGAAGGCAGTGGGATTTCTGCTTAACAACTGTGTCTTGTTGCTGTTATCCAGGTGGCACTGCTGACCTTCATCTAAGAAACCAAGTTAATTGCGCCAGTCGTGTTTTCTCCTAATACACATTTTAGAGAAAAAATGGTGACCCAAGCCACAGAACTCAGGGTCATTCCTCCGATACGTGACATGTCAAATATGATGTAAAGCCTGTAAAATAGATTAATTTCCTTGATTCCGTACTTCCTAGCCCAGGATGTCTTCTTTTCTGAGATGTCATTAGGCTTCTGAGATCAGCAAGGATACTGTATAGGTCAACAGCTTTGGGAAAGACTGACTCTGGATTTCTCTTTCTGTGCTAGGGGTGAGGACGCAGCCAGGCACTGACCAGTTCTCCTGTGCTTCTGGTGCCTTCAGACCCTTCTGTTCATCATCAGAATGGCGTATGCCTGGTATTGGCTTGATGACTTGGGGCAGTGGATTGAATATGGGAAAGAGGTGAGATCCATAGTTTGATGCTGAAAGCTCCTGCTTAGCCATCTTTGGAGAGTTGCTTAGGATATACTGTTTGGCAGCTGATGTGTTTTACATGTCCTGCTGGTGCCACTGTAGTGCTGCTTTGATGCCCTGGTGGATTGTCTTATGAAGCGTCCATCAAAGCAGTACTGAGTCTCTGTGAAAGCTTCCAAAGGACTGCCTTTAGAAATGGGCGTATTTTCCAGAGATGATGCAGGCTGAAGCTGACCTCACAGGGTAAACACTTTGGTTGCTGTTGTATCAAGCAGTTGATCTCTGTGAGGTACCTTCCCCAAAGAACAAAATGCTGGAAATCTTTGAGACTAGTTCCACACAGCATCTCATCACAGGGACCTGAGGAAAAACTGGTATGTCCCCACAGTGCCACTTACACCACAGGCTTATTTCTAACGTGTGTAATTTCCTTGTTCTATCTGTAGCACCCGATTTACCCCCATGCCACAGTAAATTCTGCAGATCTGGAGGAGGCATTTCTAGCTGACCAGAGAGGCACTCTGACATTTTGTGCTGGTTCTCAGATGTATGAATTAAACTTCAAAGGTAAAGTACTTCTTTGCTTAATATTCATTACATTGCGTTGCTGACTCTAAGGTAGCCTTTTTCATACAAAGAATTGTCAACCTGTGGGTATCCGGATTTCTTGGAACATGTCTTTTTTCCTCTTATCAGTTCTCTCCAAGCAGAGCTTGAACATTATGTACTTTTCTCTGTAGTTCTGAGGTTCTCTGATCAAACTTCTAGATTTCCGCATCATTAGTCGATGCTGTATATTGAGAACAAGAACTGAAATAAAATACTTCATGGTATTTGGCTTAGGCATTTGGGTTTATGTAACTAAAGAGGAAACAAGAAAGGAAAAAAAAAGATCAGAAAAGTCAAATGGTGAAGCAAGCTCTAGTAGACATCTTATAAACTAGTTATGAGAAAACACAGTGCAGCAAAGGAAAATTATGGGCTAGTTACAGAGAAAGAGAATGGAAAAATAAGAAATGCTTATCTGTTTCTAATTTATTTGTATTTTTTTAACCATTTTAAGGTTTCTGTTAGTTTTCGAAAATTGAAATCTGTTTCCTGGCATGAATAGAAAGTGTGACGTTTGAAGGAAGAAACAATGGCTGGTTAGCAATGTCACACTGCGTGTGCTCTGTGATACTGTTACAGGATGAGAAACAAAAGACAGGCTTTCCTCTAAGCACCAAGTAACAATCCTGTACTGCCAGGAAAGTTAGGCTTAGGGACTCCATCACGTTGAAAACCCTTCCCTGCTGCAGGCCAGACATCAGATGTGGTTTTCTCTGGCTGGCATCCCAGGTGTGAGTACATCTGCAGGTGCAGTAGTTGGTGGTTGCCTTTCAGCTTCACAGCCTACACTAGCAGGCTGTTGACCTTGGTGATCTCCAAGCAGAAGCTGCCCAAGTGGGAACGGTCTCAAACTATTAAGTAGGGAATGGGGTGAATGTGATAGCAAGAATGTCACCCTGCAGCCATCCTGGGCTACCTGCTTTTAAAACTTTTCCTACGTGCATTCCCTGGGTAATAAATTGCATAGTAGTGAGTCATTGTGTTTTTCTTTCAAGACATGGTCCAAAGAAATGTGGTCTATGCAACTCAAAGAAAAGTTATGCGGCTGCCAAAAAATTTGTACTCTCGACGTGAGCAGGACAAAAGGTACTATACTTGCATTATTTAATGGAGATGTTAGACGATGGCATTTTTCTACTAAGAAATCCCTCTTTTCTCTCTAGAATTCAGTTTTAGATTTCTTAAATTCCTTTTTAGAAATGAAATTTGCTGACTGGTTTAACATTAATTTTTGCTGTGACATTATTTGTAAATTATGCAATACTTCTGTGAAATGTGCGTGAGGGATGTTTGGTGGCAATCCTGGCAGCCATTGGAGACTGGAGACCTCTAGGGTAGATTTGTTCCTTCTGTGAGAGCAAGATCATATAGGGCTGACACAACTGTGCCAGGAATTTTTGTTCCTTGACTTGTAGCTCAACAGTGCTAAACCATACACAGGGCAGGAACAGGGGAGTGCCAGTCCCGAGACTGTGGAGCAGATAGATGCCATTTCCTGGAAAGCTGAAATATTAAATAAAATAGAAGAAATTCCTGTAAATGAAGTGTCCTGGATGCAATCATTTTTAGTTTGTATTTTCATAGAAGTTTGGTCTGACAGCATTTGGGCATGTTTGCTTTAAAAGTTAGTGGTGCTATTACTTTACTTCAAAAAGATCTATCTTGACTTCCAGAAACTTACTGGCAGGCAGTGCATAAGAACCCATGGGTTCAATTTAAGGGCTGGTTCAACCAAAGGCTGGCTGATTTAAAAATAAAGCAAACTAGAACTTCTGAGTCGATGGTAATGCCCCTATTGCCTGGGGCAAAACATTCATGCCAGGTGGATGATTGAAGACTTGTGTTGGAAGTTATTAAGGACTAACTAATGCAGCAGTGCATGGGGACATTACTGCCCACCCATGACCTCTGCAAGGCTGATCCTGGGGAAGGGAAAGTGGGCTGCTTGTCTGGCCAGTGACTTTGAGATGAGTAGGCACCTGGAGGGACAGGGCTCTCATCCCAGCTCACTAGAAGTTCAAGCAGCTCACATAGAGGTCTATTGGAGAGCAGTCGTATAAACTACGGTAATTCTTGACCAAAGGTCTCCTACAAATGCCTGCCAAGAAATTCATTAACATCACTAGGATGTGTATGGAAATTCAAACTGGAGAGAAAGGCAACTGGAAGGTTGGAAAAAAAAAGAAAAAAAGAGAATCCAGAGAAGCCTGAAAACTGCTGTAGAGCTAGGTGCATTTTCCAGAAAGGAGACTTGGTGAGAAGAGTTGTGGATTGACTTGCTCTTTCTTCCTTTTCACAGCCTGTATACAGAACCATCATGTTCACTTTATCCTCCAGAATGGGACCAATCAGCACTGCCTGAAATTGGGTACAAGGTATGAGTTTTCACATCTCCAGTGGAGTGGGTGAATTGTGTCTATTTATTGGTCTACGTTTCTTGGTCTCTTTGAAGCAAATGTCATTTGCTGTGGTAAAATTAGAGCCAGACCTGTAAGGAAGTATCTAGAAGGACCTCAGGTATCAAATTAAGGTGAAGCTGATATTCACTCGTCTCCACCTTGGATACTGCTGTGCATTTCAGCTCTAGGTTACTTTGAAGTAGAAGTAATCTGGATGCATAAGAAGGGTGTACACTGAGGGAAGCTTGTGTTAGATTGCAATCATTTCTTTGTGCAGCAGCACCTCAGCACCTGTGCTTCCAGCCTGGCAAGAGAGAGTGAAAGTGGGGATAGAATATTTGATTGGAAAGTCAGGAGAAAATAACGATTTTAATTGGTAGGGTTTTCCTTTTAATGTGAGCAAGTTGATAACTCCTTTGGAAGGACTGGGAGTTGTTACTATCAGAAATACCTTATTTCTGGTCTTTTTGAATTTTTCAGTTGGTAGATGTTGGCAACACTTCCAGTGAATACAGAAGAATTGAGAGTCTGTTTCAGAAGACGATGAAAGACTACAGCATCTGCCGGCTGCAGAGGATCCAGAACCCAACCCTTTGGCAAATTTTTCAGTGGTTTGTTTCTATTTTGTTTCATTATTCCGATGGTAGCAGAGCGTGTGGGTGTTTCCTGATCTACTGTCATCCACAGTCTGTGATAGGAGTTGCCAAAGGCAGTAGCCCAGCAGAGGTTCGATTGCCATGTTTCTGCGTGCAAAGATCCTGCTGGTAGTGAGTTTCACAATAGGTGCATAAGCACAAAAGTGTGTACGCACAAAATGGGCTTTTATATATATACATATAGTTGAACAAAAAATCAACACAGCACAGCACTCAAGAAATGATAAATAGTGCCAACAACGTCATGCTGTTCCCTTTTCTGGCTAATCTGGATGAAAGCCTGTTGGTGGAAAACAGATACAAACACACACCTGTACATGTCTCTTCAGGAGCTGGACTTAGACACTCTGCCTAGGGAGTGCTAGCCCTGGGATCCTCCCATCTCCAGCTGCATTCTGCGCACAGATATACATGTACAAATGGATCTCTCAGCAGACCCCTATACTTTGTGCTGCCATCAGGTAGTTTTCCTGAGCCTCACTGTTCCTCTGGTAGGCAAGCTAGAAACTGTTCTCTCTAGCACCTGGCCCAGAGATATGACTGCTCTGATACCCATGTCCCAGGTCACTTGCTCTCCTCTCTGTCTGTCCAGCTTGACATTCACTAGCAATCATGCACTGACATGCATAACCTTCCTTGCTTCACTTGCTGTTATCCTGAGGCTCCAGTCCAATTGCAGCACTGAGATCCTTCATATGCACTCCAGCACGCTGGCTGTAGAGTTCACCACCCAGCATATGAGCTAGAAATGAAGTCTGATGAAGAGATAGGTCAGACTGCATGGATCAGGCACAGGGCATGGCTAGACAAGCCTACAGAAAAGTCAGTCACCTGTCCATGCATGATTAGGGGCCTTCTTTATCTCCTTTTCCATCTGTCTTGCTATACGTGTAATCCTCAAATCATATGCCCTTCCCCTGCATCCCACAATAAGTTCTATACTCCTAAAGGGAGTACCCACCTCAGTCAATGAGCCATGCCCCAGAACCTTTCCATTGCTTGTGGTGCTAGGTGTCACCCCAGCCCCTAAGGGCGCCTTGGCAGGGACTGGGGCTTCTTGCTGTCTGGGCGTGTTATTGAGAATCCCTCACTTGTCACTGCCTCCACACTCCTATGTGTGTTTGCTAATGTTATTCAAAAAGAAATTTATTTTCCTTCACTGTGACTGAGTTGTGGAATCTCAGATTTATTCTTCTCATGGGGCTTAAAAAAATATATTGTTGTTTATGTGATAAAGCCAGAGGTAGAGTTTACACAGTTTTTACTGTGGCTTCATGCTGTTCATTTCATAACCATACTCATTCACTCAGGATTATAAAACCTGGGAACTGGGAACAATTCCCTCCTGAGAGATGTCTGTCTCTTTATTCTCTAATGTGATATGTGAAGTTGTATGCAACGTGGTCCACGATGATATGAGAACTTTCTGTTTTGCTGTAAGGAGCCAGCTGTGCTGCAAAGTACCAACAGGAGGGCACAGCAGGCAGTATCCCCACTGACAGTGGTTTGTGTCACTCTTCCTCCACAACCCCGAAGTATGAGGAGTTGGGTTGGGAAGTTGTCCTCATTTAAATTAGGGCAAAATGGCATTCATTTTTTGTCACTAGGCAGAAGGAGCACATGAAGAAGCTCCACAAATCAAACTGGGTGGATGAGCGGCTTCTGTTCCACGGGACAAACGCATCTCATGTGCCAGCCATCTGTGAGCAGAATTTTGACTGGAGGATCTGTGGCACTCATGGGACAATGTACGGAAAAGGTACAAGAACATGAGCTGGACTTACATTGAAATTCTTAGGGTGTTTCTAGAACTCGGGGAAAAGCTCAGCACGAGCTGTGTTTTCTACTTATCCTATTTCTTTAGACTTTCTTTTGTTGGTGAAGCAGCACAAACCTGTTTCTGCTATTGGTGAGAGCAGCCGTGTCAACTCATGTAGTCCTACCATGGACCCACTCCCAGCTGCAGTGGGGACTCCATAGGCAATGGCAGACTTGGTGGGAGGGAGTTCATGGCACAGCACAACAGGCTGCACATGTGACCAGTCTGTGTGACGTGGCTGTCCAAGATGCCACACACCTGCCCTTAGTGCAATCTCATCTGTTCAGATCTGCATCTCTGCAAGCTGTGTCAGCAGCCTTCAGGAGGGACGGAAAACATTCCTCTCTGCCTCAAGTATTTGCTGTTTCGCAAAGCTTTTAGACAGGTGGGACAGAGATATTGATGGAGAAATATGGCTAGCATCTGTCTGCTTTTAAAAAAGCCCACATGAAAACACTTGGCAAGGATATGTTCAGAGCTATTTGGGGCTGTTGGATCACTGGCTGCCAAAGAGCTGATAGCAGATGTTCGTTCCTTGGTTGATGCATTCTCTTACCTGTGGCTTTTCCTGGTCTTAGGAAGCTACTTCGCCAGAGATGCCAGTTATTCTCATGAGTACTGTTCCTCTAGGATCAGCCGCTACAGCATGTTTGTAGCTCAGGTCCTTGTTGGGAAATTTGTTCGAGGGGACTCTGAATACCTTCGTCCTCCACCCACACCAAACAATCGCAACAGACTTTATGACAGCTGTGTGGATAACCCGGAAAACCCTTCCATCTTTGTCATCTTTGAGAAGCTCCAGATTTACCCTGCCTATATCTTGGAGTACAGCAGCAGTTCTCTATGTGTGATCCTTTAATGAATGGCAGAATATTCTTTGTATTTACACTGAAACGTTTTAATAAATCTTTTCATTCATGTTTGTACAGTTTTAGAACTTGCTAATGCTAAAATTTCCTTTAAGATACTAAAGAACATTTTGTAATGCAAAACAGTATCAGTCTCCCAAGGGTCTTGGGGGCATAGTTTTTGTTGCAGGACCTATTGTTTTGCCAACAGAAGGTGCTAAAGTTCCACCTTATCTCTTGCGTAGGGTGGGGTCATACATGCATACTGGGGTGGCTCTGCATACTCTAATGCAGTCATGTGTTCTGATGCTGGAAGCAGCACTGCTGAATTATGAAGTTATTATGGTTAACTTTGCTTTATTTCATGATCAAGTCACCGTTGGCACTTCTCACCCTGTTCTTCCACATGCAGCCTGCCCATTCTGCGGGGATGCCATATCTTGAGTGTCCTCATCCTATCCCCAACCTGCTGATGGTGTCCTTGTCTGGAGCCCTTGGGAAGAATCCCTTCCTTATTGCCAAATTTCCCCAGATTTAGGCCAGGAGAACCAGAGGTATGGCAGCTACTGGAGTCAGATCACCACCTTGCCATGACATTCACAGTGAGGAGGTTTGTGGTGAGCTGAATAATGCTGTATGGTAGCGTCCTACTGGGGCTGCAAAGGAGCCCATACTATTTCAGGATCACTGTGTTCATCTCTCAGTTTACATCATTCCTAGCAGCAGTCCCACCTCCAGTGTGGTTTGCTGCTCTTCTCCCAGTGCCAGTGCTGGTGATACTAGGGTGAGCTTGGTCAAATGCAGTGCATTCACCTACTTGAAAGGTGACTTAACCAAAACAAACAAACAGACCACTTGAAATAAACAACTGCAAAATATCAACAAGAACAATTCCCAGTTTAGCTTGTGCCAGGATTGATAAAGAAGAGGTGAAGCTGTAGCACTGACTGGCAAAGGATGATACTTGAACCTTGAGCCCAGGCAGGGCTTTGTGCAGTAAAAGATTTGGGAATACTTGGGTCAGTAAGGTGTTGAAACCACTATTAAAAATGAAAAGCAATTAAATCTGCAAATATTTCCTCATGGGGGTTTTTCCTTCACATTACAAATCTGCTAGAACTTTTGCAGATCTGAAATTCCTGCTGTCTCGGGAGCACCTGCACATCTCCAAGTTCTGCAGCTGTGAATGAAAGCATTCCTCAGTGCCCCTTCAGGTAAGAAACACTTGCAGATAGGCAGCAACACACGCAGTTGTCAGCAGGCACTGAACATGGATCTGACAGTAACAAACAAAAAAAAAAAAACAACAAAAAACACCAGAAAAAAAAAAGAAAGCATGAGAATTTCTCTATTCTATTCTGTTGAGAGCAGGTTAAACGACTTCTGACTCAGACACATGAGAGTCACAGCTTCAGAGTCATTGAGATAGCGGTGGAGAAGGCCTGACTGGGAAACACAGTGAGTAGCCAGGCTGCTTTCTGTGGAGTTTGCTGCTTTCTGTGCCAGCTGGGTTGGTGCTGGGTGGGCAAGTGTCAAGGTGGGCTTGTCCATGGTTTGTGGAGCTCATTCTGTTGATGGGTATGGAAGAAAGCTGCTCTCAGCATGAAATTAAATAATTGGTTGGGATCTTGACTAATTACTTCTCTTTGTTTCCAAAACATTGCCTGTTTGCAGGGTGCTTGTGGGAGCACTTTACCTGTGCATGATGGAAAGGTTTACAGAGCGTGGCAGCTGAAGAGAGGAAAGGGAGAGGGCTCTGCTGAGAGGTCAGTCCATCTCATCAGGAATCTCCAAATAGGAGCTTTTGGGTTTGTTTTAGGGAAAAATAAACAAATCCAAATATGCACTCACAAAACTTATCTTCTACTTGTGAGCAAGAAGGAGGGAGCAGAGAAAAACAAGCTTGAAGTGCAGAGCTGCTCCTTGAGCTGGTGGTACTGGCTGTAGAGGAGAAGGTGGTAGTGTCTGGGACCAGGGCTGACTCTCCACCAGGAATGGGGCAAAGGGAGACAGTTCTGAGAGGTAAAGTTGGTTTTGGTGCAGGTGGCTTCCTTGCTCCACCTGGGAAATCTGTTGGATCCAGCTGGGAGTGGGATGGATTGAGTTGGCCTGGGCTCTATCAGGAAGGGCTGTAGGTGGTGAGGTGCAGCCAGAGCTTCTTCCTCTGCCTCTGTGGGGGCACCCTGTCTTCTTCCTCTGTACTTGATCCCCCAAAGATCTCCTGTCTCTGTATTGGCAGCTTCTTCAGTTATTCATTTAACAATTGCCTCTCAGGAACCAGCAACAACTTCAGGAGAATCAATTGTTTTACACTCATATAAATAAGACACTTCTTCCACATAAGAGAAATACATACTTTTCTCTGCCTGCAAAGATGTTAGCTCAAGTGATTATTTCATTATAATTTATTTCTAATTGATTTCCTGGTGGTAGTGCTCTAAGGCCTTCACAGTGTCCCTGGTTTTAATATTGTTGGTTACATACTTATGCACCTGTTCCAGGCTTTCTATTAAATGAAACCTCAGCAAGTTTTAAGGCCTTCTTTTAATTTAGTGATGCCATGTTTCACTTTCCAGCATTTTTTAAGAATTCTTTTAACAGTTTCAAGAGGATTTATTACAGGTGATTAAACTATAGAAACCTAATTCTTGATTGAACATGCTGAACAGCATGTTGTTTCCCAAAGCACTTTAACTCCTAAAAGTCAATCTGAGCCCCATAACCTGGCACTACTACTGTATGGGGGCCAGGTGGAGAAAACACAGATATTGTTCTTGGCATGACATGCTTAACAATTGCATTATTTAACAAGGCTCTTTCTGAACTGAGGGAATAACAGTCCAGAATTAATGTGTGGTTGAGGTAATGATGTGGGACCAAGGGTTTGCAGAATTGCAGAAGGCATTATCGGCTGGAATCAGACTTCCAGAGCTCAGGGAATAACTTTAATTGCTCCTGTTCTTTTGCAGTCCTGCTTTTTTTGATGAAGTCTGTTGTCTGATGTATTGAGTCCTAGACACAGTTTCCATTCAAACTATCTTTCCAAAATTACTTTTACATCCAGCTTACAAATATGTGCACTAGAGAAGGCTGACCTGGACTGCATCCATCTGTTCTTAATAAGTTTTGATTTTCATTCCAGATGCTTTACTGCATTTTCAAAGGACCCATTAATCAGTGTGCCAGAGCTCAACCTGTAAATACTTGGCAAGTGTCTGCATATGATATTCTAACCACTGGAGGAAGCTATGTCTTTACTCATTCCCAAAGAGAAGTATTATTTCATTGTGCGTTTTCTGAATCATTTTTCTTGGGCTGTATCTTCAGCTATGGACTCCTAAAAATTCTTTTTCAAAATTATTTTCCCTTTACTAAGTCCAAAGGAGATGTTAGAAGTCACGTTGTTCTCTGTTTTCTTTAACATTCTGTGCACTCTTTCACTCTTGCTTTCTGTAAATGATAGAGTCATAGAAGGGCTTGGGTTGGAAGGGACCTTAAAGCCCATTCAGCAGCTCAGGCTGCCCAGGGCTCCATCCAACCCGGCCCTGAGCACCTCCAGTGCAACCACAGCTTTTCTGGGCAGCTGTGCCAGTGCCTCACCTCTAGGACAGATGATCTTTATCATCTTTATCAGTGACCTACATACTGGGATCAGGGGCACCCTCAGAGAATTTGTAGATGACCCCAAGCTGAGTGGTGAAGTTGATATGACAAAAGGAAGAGATACCATCCAATTGAACAGAAGCATCCAATGCACAAAACTGTAAGCTACTAATCAGGTTTTGCATATGAACTCTGGGAGAATCAGGAATATTGACTTCTACAGTTGAAGCATTGATAAAACCAAATAATATTATTGCCAACTACCCAGAATCAAGCATCTGTTCATATATGAGGGGCTGGCATGCAAGAAGCAGAAAATGGCATGTTTGGATTCAAGCATAGCACTGTCAAAGAAGAAAACCAAAAACCTTTTAGAACTTGTTCACTTCTGTGAGGATTTGGAAACCAGACTATTTTCTGGGCTGTGAAGTGATTACAACAGTCCAGGAATTCCTGCTGAGTCTGGACTTCTCCCTCAAGACTACTTTTAAGCAACCTGCCAGAAGCTGATCCTTTCCTTCTCCCTTGTGTGGTTGTTTTTTTTGATTTCTTTTTTCTTTTTATTTATATCAGTTCTGCACTTTTGGTCTTTCCTTACTCTCATTCATTCATGCTTGTTGGTTCTGGCTGGATGATTCTCTACAGTGGACCAGGTATGGGAAGCAGGTAAAATCCATGGCAGCCCTGACACCCAGCTCCAAGTCCTAGCCCCTAGCAGAGGAAAAAGTACGTACTATTAAATACTTCATTTCTGATTCTATGCTGAAAACTTACAAAGACTCTCTTTCTAAAGCATTCAGAGCAAAAGTATTAGGATGATAATTTCAAACCAAAACCTAGGTCATGGTGCATGTCAAGCCACGAGTAAAATCTTCAGCAGTTGTCAAAGAGGAAAAGCTAGGAAGGAGATCTGGGTCTGCTGAGGCTGCTGTGGGAAGAGACCTGCGTGAGAGATTCTTTTGGTTCTCAATTACTGTGGAGTGCTTGTTCAACTACGGGGTGACGTTTGAAGAAGAGAAGACCTAGTCATGAACATGCACCATTTGAAGCACACGCATTTGTACCGAGGAATGGGACTGCAACAATTGGAAACTTGCTGTCTGATGGGATCAAAAGAGGAGGCATCACAGGTGGCCAAGAGGATGTCTGCACTGCTTATGCTGCCAGTTCAAGCAGGTGCAGCGTTACAGAAAACGGCCCTGTGTCGTGGAGATAATACAGTGAAAAAGCCATGGATAAGGCACTGTAGGGCTATGTTAGTATTTTTTCATATGTAAGGTATGTCTTTCTGCACGGGACTGGCTGAACAGGGACATGCCAGTGTGTCCCAGCCTGGCTCCAGTCTCCAGCAGCGTTTGGTGCTGGATCCCTGGAAAAGGAGTAGTTAGGTAGTATGGCGCGAAGCTCAGGGAATTCCTAAGCCTCAGACAACACCTCTGTATTTAACAGCCCTTGTCAGATTTCTTTTCTCCTGTGACTTTGTTCA